AGACCTCTTTCATATTCAGCTGGATTCTCATCTTAGTTGCACACAGAGGAGGGCAATTTATACTGACATTTTACATTAATAAGAAACACAAAAAGAAGACAACTTTCCCACAATTCCTGCTCCCTGGTCACTCATAAACCCTGTTCCCCCACTAACTAATAATGAGCAGCAGATGAACTAAAACGATGGTCCAGCTTTCACACAGTTGGCAATATCAGTTAATTTCACCCTGTCCACCAAAAAGTGCTGTCTTGCTTAATTGGGTGATCAAAGGATTATAGAAAGTTTGAAAGAAGAACAAAGCCTCCCTCAAGTTCAAGCTCCGATTTCAGAATTCATAAGACTATGGTGCCATCTGCTGGTGTAACCAAGAAGTGACTAAAATAAACAACACTTGTGCAGGAGGCTTTTCCATACCACATTCCACTTGCATCCTCTGTAATGTCATACACTAAATTCCAAAGTAGTTAAGGTGCAGTAATCTGCTGTATTTTCTGCATGCAATTCCCATTTCCTGTAGATGGCGAGAGCGGTACACAAAAAGACACACTGAGGTTCACTGAGTCACATTTAACAAGGCACAGCTTCCTCAGTGCAACTGACCTGGAAGTTTTTTTTTTTTCCATCAAGACCCCCTGGTGTTGTTGGAGCAGCTTCATGGACATCCCAGGACCCTTGACCTCCTCATTAAAAGCTTGAAAAAACAAAACCAACAGAACAAAAAGGCCTCGGGAGAAGCATCGCCGTCACTTTTTTACTTCAAAACAACAGGAAACAAAGGCGCTAATATTTGAGATACAAAAGCACTTTCCTAAAACAATTAAAACAGCAAAACAAGAAGAGTTTCTGTCCCAGCGCAGCTGCCATCACACTGTTACAATGAAGCCTTTTTTTCCCCAGCCGAAAAGACATTTCATTTACAGTCCAATAAAAACAGATTTTGAATCATAACTTCAATCTCCAAATCCTCCTCTGATTTCTTAAATATGTAAAGCATTTCAAAAAATCATCCGGGGGGTTTCAAAGGCAATAATTCAAATAACTGTATTTGTTTTCTCTCACAGAATTTGTAACGTCTGTGTCTTTGCAGTTTAACACGGTGATAGATTAGCAAGTTTAACTCAAACACTGCATAATCATGAGTGAGGAATTAGCCATCAACCAGCAGTAAACATTGCTCACAGAAGCATTAGAGGAAAGCTGCTGGCATGGATACCAGGCAGTTAGTCTGATTTTTTTTAAAGAAATTATACAGTAAAAACACTATTAAACCTTCTATTTAGGACTGCAGGGATAAATACTGCAGGGACTTAAATACTGTTTATCCTCCAAAGCCTAATCACACCATTAAGAAATCTCTACTTTGCAAAACAAACAGAGAAAGTCAAAGAACACAAACGCTTTCAGAACATCGACAGCAAGCAGGGAAGCGAGATATGGAAATACACAGATTGTGAAACAAACAACATAACACGAGAAAGGGGGGACGGGGGGGAAGGATCATTCCAAATTTATTTCTGAATAAAAGGATTTCACTGAGGAAATAGTTGTCGCGGCCTTTAAATCGGATTATTGTGTTGTAAGGTTGACCTTGCCGTGAAAATAACCACGATTGGCAGGACGTTTGAATTCTCTGTCATTAGTGTGGCAAACTGTTTAAAAGGAATAAGTAAACAAGCTCAAATTCTTCAGCTTTTGCAGCTTTTCTCACATAAGCCCCTACTTAATTATATAATTTGAATATTATTTAGAACACGCGTCCACACAAGGTGGGATTCATTTCTCTCAGACTTTAGCTTGAACCAAAGACATATGCAAACTAAGCATTTTATTAGGTGCACCTTGCTAGTACTGGGTTGGATCCCCTTCTGCCTTTAGAACTGATTTAATTTTCATGGCATAGAGTCAAAAAAGTGCTGGAACCATTCCTCAGAGAATTTGGTCCATATTAACATGACATCTGCACACATGTTACTGCAGATTTGTGGGCTGCACATCCACGACACCAATCTTCCATTTCAACACATCCCAAAGGTGCTGTACTGTGTGCTGAGAGGTGCTGACTGTGGAAGCCGTCTGAGTACAGTGAACTCAGTGGTGTATTCAAGGAGCAAATTTGAGATGATCTGAGTTTTGGGATTTTGCGTGTTATTCTGATGGCAGCAGGCATCAGCAGATGGGTTACACTGTCTTTATAAATGGGCTGAGATGTTCAGCAACAATACTCAGGTAGGCTGTGGTGCTTAAATGATGATCATCTGGTCCTAAGGGGCCCAAAGTGTGCCAAGAAAATATCCCCCGACACCATTACTCCATCACCATCAGCAGCCTGAACTGTTGCTCCACGGCAGGATGAATGGGATCCATACTCTTTTATGCCAAATTCTGACCCTACCCTCCAAAATTCACAGATGACATCGAGACTCATCAGATGAGGCAGCATCTTATCTTAATGACCTTGTAGTACCATATCACCCTATTAGAGCACTTCGCTCTCGCTCTGCAGGCCTACTTGTTGTTCCTAGAGTATTTAAAAGTAGAATGGGAGGCAGAGCCTTCAGTTTTCAGGCCCCTCTTCTGTGGAACCAGCTTCCAGTTTGGATTCAGGAGACAGACACTATCTCTACTTTCAAGATTAGGCTTCAAACTTTCCTTGTTGCTAAAGCATATAGTTAGGGCTGGACCAGGTGACCCTGAATCCTCCCTTAGTTATGCTGCAATAGACGTAGGCTGCTGGGGGATTCCCATGATGCATTGAGTTTTTCCTTTCCAGTCACCTTTCTCACTCACTATGTATTAATAGACCTCTCTGCATTGAATCATATCTGTTATTAACCTCTGGCTCTCTTCCACAGCATGTCTTTTATCCTGTCTTCCTTCTCTCACCCCAACCGTTCGCAGCAGATGGCCGCCCCTCCCTGAGCCTGGTTCTGCCGGAGGTTTCTTCCTGTTAAAAGGGAGTTTTTCCTTCCCACTGTCGCCAAAGTGCTTGCTCATAGGGGGTCATATGATTGTTGGGTTTTTCTCTGTATCTATGAAGCGCCTTGAGGCGACTTTTGTTGTAATTTGGCACTATATAAATAAAATTGAATTGAATTGAATTGAACTTTTTCAATTTTCTGTTGTCCAATTTTGATGAGCCTGTGCAAATTGTTGTCATGGTATTGGGGGATTTGACCCAGTGGTTCAGAGTTTTTGGACTTTCTAGTGTTTATTTGAATATTCTGTTCTGATTCCTGGTTTGTTTAATGTTTATATTTCAGGTATTCATGTATGTTTCATGTATTCTTGGTGTACTTGCTCTAGCTTGCACCTCCTAGTGACTTTAAAGTGTAAAGTAGCTGTCTCCGCTTCCCTTAACTGCCCTTCTGCACATATACAGTGAGTGCCCCCCATTGTCCTGTGTCAGACCATGTGTTTCTGTTCCTGTCTCTCTTGCCCCTAGTGGTTTTCAGCATGAGTGTGTTTCCTAGTGGTTATACTGTAGTTTTCAGTTTCCCCTTTTTGGATTTATGTTTCACTTTTTGGATTATGGCCACTTTGCTCTTTTGTGAACAGAAAAGGGGCTCACTTTTTGTTTTATTCTGGTTACCTCCACACAACTGCATGTGGGTCCTTTTCTCTACGTCCAGTCTCTATAATCCACAGACTGTGACAACTGCAGCCTTTGATTCCTGGTCTTAGCTGATAGGAGCAGCGCCACTTGTGGTCTTGTGACCATCTGCTTCAGTGTTTGTGTTCAATGTATGTTTTTCTGCATACATTTGTTCTAACAAGTGGTTGTTTGAGTGGCTGTTGTCTACAGCTCAAAGCAATCTGCCCATTCTCCTCTGACCTCTAGGATCAAGATGGCATTTCTACCCAGAAACCTGCTGCACACTGGATATTTTGTTTGAGTGAACAGGATAGACGGTGAATATATTTGAAGCATTAGATAAATAACCTTTTTTTTTCAGACTTCACTAAATGATTTTGTGAACTTGGAAAACCAAATAAAACAAAAATATAGAGGAAATATCCTCACTTTTAATATATGATAGTTTGTTAAATAAACTCAAACATTCAACATAAATTCAAACATTAAAAAGGAAAATAAGAAAATTCACTCTGTAAACTAACTAAAACTAAACTGAGTTAAAAAAAATTTTTTTAAATGAAATAAAAATAAAAAATAAATAGAAGATACAAAACTATGGTAACTTTGCTTCAAACTGTAACAGACCGTCAATTAAATGGCCTACCATTAAATAACAGCTTTGGTATTTTGTTTGTGTGATGTAGTTTCCGGTCGGAACTTACTCGGGGGAGTTTAAAAGATGATGCACCGACGTTTAAAAGACGTCCAATTGCGCATGTGCAAATCTATCAAAACACCGACAAAAGAGCGACGCTTGCATGGAATTTATCTAGAAAAAAAATGTCTAAAAATGCTTATGGACTTAGATTAATTGATTTTATAAAATAAATATTTCTTTCTTGATAGTTACGGTTAATTTGTATGAAGGTTAGCAATCCGTTCTCCATACAGAGTACCGGGCCGAAGGTTACATTAACAGTAGCTAGCATGCTAAGTACTGGTTAACCACCGTCTGTTGTTTGCTAGTTAATATGTTTCACACGCTGTTGTTTGCAAGGCTTTTCTGTGTCCCTTTAGTACGCAGGCGAGGATAAATGAAAATGACTCTGACGCAGAGTGCTGATTTCCATCGATTTTTAGCATAAATTTCCTCCGTGTTTCAAGCGTGCATAGTACACCGTTTAACCTCAGTGTGAAAGCTCAGTGAGTGATCCGGGGATGGACAACGTTACGGTGTCAGCGTCAGATGGGACCGCAGAGTGCCCTCTGGTCTCCGAGGACATGGAGGGGATCTGTGTAATGCCTGACTTGAGTGCCATAAAGACTGAGCAGTCGGTGGGTGCAAGCCCAGACGACACAAACACCCAAAATGTGGCTATGGGCATCAAATTCATCTTACCCAACCGCTTCGACATGAATGTTTGCTCAAGATTTGTAAAGTCGCTCAACGAGGAGGACAGTAAGAACATCCAGGATCAGGTGAACTCTGATCTGGAGGTGGCTTCCGTTTTGTTTAAAGGTAAGAAAAAAGCAAAACCCTGTTTCTTCGTCTTAGATTAACTTGTGATTGTGTCGAATACACGATACTAATAAACGTGTTTTACTTCTGTCAGCCGAGTGCAACATCCAAACCTCACCTTCCCCGGGTATACAAGTGCGTCATGTTTACACACCATCCACCACCAAACATTTCTCGCCGATCAAACAGTCCACCACTCTCACCAATAAACATCGAGGCAATGAGGTGTCTTCCACACCTCTTTTGGTGCACTGTAAGTACCATCATTTCTTTCAACTTCAGTTTCTTTCGTTGTTTTTATGTGAGCGGAATTGTTAAAATGTAATTGTTACACATGCATTTGTTTCCTTTCAGCTTTATCTATTCATCAGCTGGCAGCCCAAGGGGAGATGGTGTTTTTGGCCAGCAGGATTGAACAAGGTAGGCTGTCAAAGGATTACAGTTTTTGTTGTCATGGAGTGCAAGCCATCCAAAATTAGTTAAATGAAAAATTGCACCACGGTAACAACCAAAAACATCACTGTCATACATGCACCGTTAAGCATGCATAAATTATATACCAATGAAGTTCAACACTTTAAAATAGAAACACATAAATTAATATAAATGATTCCACATTTTTACAGACTAGGTCTACTTTCAATCTTCTATAATGTTTAGTTCGCAGAGGTGTGAACTGTATATGAACCAACCATATGAACAAACTTCTTCCATTTTCCTTTAACAATGTTATTCTTTCCAGACTGATACATTCTGAAAGTTCCTTTATCCCATGTTTCATAGAAGGAGCATCCATACTCTTCCAGCATAGTGCTTTTGTGTTTGTCAGAAGCCCACTGGGTAAATTCCCAGCAGGCACAGTTTAACATTTAGAGGGATGTAGAAGTTGAACACCTCTGACAGACAGTTGATGACATCTTTCCAGATTTTATGAATGTTTGGGTATTCTCATGAAAAGTGAAGAATGATTCCTTTTTCATTTAAACATGTTTAGGTTTAACAGAAGTTATAAGTCCACATCAGCTACTTGTATTGAAGATGCTTTATTTATATTTATGCCTTTAGACAAGCCTCATTCCAGTTTGTTTCATATATGTCCTGTTATCTGCTGCTTCTCGGGGCATTTAACTTGTTCGCTGCTGAGACTTTAAAAGTAGATATTAGTAGGTTATAGCAAATAGAAACTCGACCTTTTTCTTCCAAATCTCCAAAAGAGACTAATTCTATTTTTCATTGCTGTTGGATAAGCGTGTATTTTTTTTTAAACTGTAAATGTTTAAAGATTCAGCTTTTTTAGAATTTTTAAATCCTTTTTTCTCAGACATTGAATTCACCTTCACATAAAAGAGAAAAACAACAGTTCTTCATCAGTTTACCAGCAGATATTGAATCTTGATAATTACTTGTGTATGCAAAATATAAAGTTTAAAAATGTAATTAGACCAGTAGATGGAGATTAAATACAGTGTTATGTTTTATTTTTCCATATTTATTTTAACAGAGACTGTAATCAATCTCCAAGATGAGGAGGGCTTCACCCCGCTGATGTGGGCAGCTGCACACGGACAAATCGCTGTGGTGGAGTTTCTGCTCCAAAATGTGAGGAATATTCATTGAAAACTTTTTATTCTGTTTATATGTTTATTATATCCGAGCAAGACTTCTTCACTTACTGTCTGTTTGTCATCCTGTGACACTTTTCGCTGTAGGGTGCTGACCCTAACCTCCTAGCCAAAGGGAGAGAGAGTGCATTGTCCTTGGCTTGCAGTAAGGGATACACAGATATTGTGAAGATGCTCATTGACTGTGGAGTCGATGTCAATGAATATGACTGGGTATGTTATTATAAAAAAGTTAGTTTAAAGTAGCGCCTCCGCTCAGTTTGTGATCTTGGTATTAAATGTTGTCATCTCTGTGGGTTTTTAGAATGGAGGAGCCCCTCTGCTGTACGCTGTCCATGGCAACCATGTGCGCTGTGTTGAAATCTTGTTAGGTGAGCAGAAATCTTTGACTTGCAGGAACATCTGTGTTCATATTTGTTAAAGGGTAAGCAAAGCAGTTGTGTTGAGTTCTAACAGAAAATGATGTACAGTGATTGAAATTTTGTATGTTTGCATGTCTTTCAGAGAGCGGTGCTGATCCTACCATAGAGTCAGATTCGGGTTTCAATGCAATGGACATGGCTGTAGCCATGGGCCACCGAAATGGTATGTGAGAAAAAGAGCAAAACACAGCTGAGAAACATGCTGGAACAGTCTCAGTAATCAAGTTGTCTCTGGAGTAACCCTGACTGTATTCTAATATGTATTAACTTTAGAGTTTGCTGCACAAACCCCAGAACTATACTTTTATTTATAAAAAATGAGAGAGAGAGTGTGTGTGTTTCTTTAAAGGAATAAACAACCAGGCACTGTTATGACTTCATTTCATTTTACCTGTTCAGCTAATATCTTTAGAGAGAGTAGGGTTTGGACATGCAGAGGGGAGGTAGTGGATCAATTGAACAAAGGATGTTTAATATGTGCAGCCAGGCAGGAGGAAAAGAGGAAGACCACAGAGAAGATTCATGGATGTAGTGGAGGAGGCCATCTTCCATTCACCGCATGTGCTGGAACTGGTCAGCACAGCGCTGTTGTTCCATATCTGCCACATAGTTTGTGGTGGATTTTTTCTGAGGGGGATGCTTGAAATATATACAGGCATATTCCCTCTGTAAAAATCTGATACCTTATGGGTTGAGGACAGCGAAATTAGATTTGAGATTTCTTTTTTTTCCTATAATGAATCATTCGGTCATGGCATGAACTTACCAAAAAAAAAAATTAGATTTCGTGCTGTTCCCTATGCCTAAAATTAGTAATTGTCCTGGTGTTTGTCCTGTAAAACTTGATTTGAGTCGATAAGAATTTGTTGACAGTGCTGCTGTTTCCAAAAAAGTAAAAGTCTACTAAGATAAACACAAAGTCGCCTTTTCCTGCCAGATCCACACTTGCTCCTTTCTCAGAGTGAAGAATGGTCACATGGAAATGTGAATATTGTTCTTAATTTTCACTTTTAATGCTTATAAACTATCGCAGTAATCAGGATTTGTTTCCACAAAGCCCACAGTTCAGTTAAATGACCTCAGTGTATGTTTCTCTGTTTAGTTCAACAGGTGATGGAGGCACACTTGCTAAAGTTATTGATGGGGATCAGAGAGTGAACTGCTGCACTTGAGGGAGAACAAATACTGAAGAGATGCTGCTGTGCGCTGGATAATCATGTAGCATGGCCAGTCTGTCAGCCTGCAGGAGTATTTTGTTCCCTTAAGAGATATTTCATAAGCTTCATATTATTCATGATGCAGGTGAAGGTTTGTGGTGTGTGAAACATCAGTTTTAACCCTCTTAAAAGCTGTTAAGCTCTGCACTTTTTTCCTTTTTTCAACATTGACTGGAGTTGCATATCCAATCACTATACACTGACTGGTTGTCAAAGAGCATGCTGAGTTCTTCACTACAGCCCACCACGCACTCCCCTCCACCTGTAGTATGTTGCCAAATGAGCAGTGCAGACTGGAATTGACTTTGCTCTAAAGTTGCAAAGAGCTTACTTTTTACGTTGTTGTAATTTAATACCTTTTGCCCATCTTTGTGTTCTAAGACTAACCTATTATCTTCTATTACATTATTTTATTGTAATATTTTCACGTTCGCACTCTCTGAACTCGGGATATTTCTGAGGCACGAGATTTTATGACTCTGTCAAGCTGTTTGTGGTCCGTTTACTGAAGATCTTTGTGTTTCATGTATTGAATTTATTTATTTTAATAATTTAAACTGTTATGATGTCAGTTTGTTTCTTTGTGTAGTGATACAAAATGTTCAGATGTGTTGTGAATTTTAAAAGACCTCACACAAAAATTAAATGACACACAAAAATGCTGTGGTGCTGTTTGTATGAAAATAGTAATACTGTTTATTATAGATATTTATCTGATGTGCAAGAGTCAATGAAGTTAAGCAGTTTAACTTAAATGTCAAACTTTTGAAAGTACAACCAACAGCATCACATTCTGTGATTCTGTGAAGCTTTTCTTTTTATATTGTTCATAAGATGGGAAGAAAAGTCTGTGTTGAACAATTTTACCCTGAAAAGCACTAGAAAATTTGAGTTTCATGCTTCAGTGGCCATAATGCTCTGGGGGGGGGGAAAAAAAACAAGCAAATAAAATGTAATGGGGGAAAAATAAAAACATACTCATTACAAATGAAAGGTACAGTCGTGAAAATACGTTTTAACAGGACTTTGTGGAGTCTTGTGAAAAACAGAACACCCCATGTTCAGAAGCTTGTAGATCCACTGTTTGCAACAATAACTTGAGGTGCTTGTTTTCTGTATCACTGTATTCTTACATCACTGTGGAGGAATTTTGGCCCACTCTTTTAGTAGTTCTCTTTTACTTCAGTTATTGGGATTTGCAGACATTCGTTTATGAATGGTTCTTTTAAGCTCCTGCCACAGCGTTTCAGCCAGATTGAGGTCTGGATGTGACTGAGCCATTGTAACCGGGGGGGGGGGATTTGCTGGGATGCCCTCTCCCTGGATCATTTTAACGCACACCTTAATGGCTGGTAAAATTGTTATTTTGCCAAGTTTAATTAATTTGACACATTGTTTCATTTAGCTGCTGTTTCTTTGTATCCAAAATGCTGTATTTCCAAAATTGCTCATGCAGATTGCAGCATCAGCTACTCACAAAACTGGAAAATGGCTTTTTAAAAATAAAATTGTGAAATCAGCATTGCCTCTCTGACCTAAGTTTTAGCTAAAACAGTCCTTGAAGCAAATCTTGACTCTTCAGCAGCCATCTTCAAAGGCCGTCAGTCTTTTATTTAAAGCATTGTCTAAATTATCTTTAACCATCTTTGTTGTTGTGGCATTTCAAAACAGTTTTCTATTCAACATGCTTTGTGCTTAGCCTGAACTCTCTTAGGGGAGCTTCTGTTTTTTTAAGTAATCTTCAGAAATAGTTCTCCAGCTTCTTGAAAGGCACCCAAAGCTCCTTGGATGTTGGCTGATGATCCCAGACTGCTGACCCCTGTTGCGGTCTGGACTTTGGGGAGGCCTATCCATGATTATGACCGTGTTTCCAGATGTGTTCTTTATGGTGAAATCAAAATCCCGATCTCCTCCGTATATAGTGATCATGTTTAAGTATGGCTTGTCAAGTCAACCTTCCATACTGACCATGTCTGATGAGGCATCAGTGAAAAGTAGATGGATGACACAAAGGACCAGATGCATATCTTTGATCTTGTATTGGGACTGGATACTGCTCATGTGTTAAGCATGCCATTTCTTTTGTCCTCCACTTGTCCAGATTCCCTGATTCCTTTAGGGGCACACTATACTTCATCCAAGGTCTCTGGGAATCATAGTGATGCTGGAAAAATACAATTTTCTGTCTGTTAAATTGTTATTTTTGGCATTTTCCATAGAGACAACTAAACAAATGGAGGGGGAAAAGTGTTTGCAACAGGCTGCTAGTAAAGTACTTAAAAACTGTGCGCTACACTGTTTTGTCACTCAACCAAAATTAAAGTATGGTTCCTTAGAAGCAAAATATAATGATTCAAGACTTTTTCATATTTTTGTCATCATAGATAATTCTGTAGTTGTTATAACTGTATTCTAATATACACTTATGGTCACACTCACCCTCTCCATTTTCTTGACCATAAAGTAAAACTGAGGGATTGACAGCCCTGGTTACTCGCCCAGCAAAAACACGCCTCTTACCCTCATTTTCATAAGTGTAAATTGTGGAACATACTAAAGTTTACTGAATACTTTACCTCCCTGTTGCTATCTGCAGACAAAGAATGTCTGCAACTGCCCTGACCTTACAGGAACTAAACGATGTTACAAGTTCAACCTGCAGTTTCTCACCAAATCTACAGATGAGCATCTTCTTGATGCATTCTCAATCATCCAGGTAAGTAAATCTCCAAAAGTTGATTCTGTTCATCTGGATGTAGCGTTTTGTGGGAGAAACGTTTCGTCACTCATCCAAGTGACTTCTTCAGTCTCAGCTGACTGCAGGTTTCCCCAATCTTATAAACAGTACATTTGCATAATGACTGAAACCAGCCCAGTGAAGGAACAATGGGCTGGGAGGTCAGTTCCTTAATCATAATTATGCAAATTCTCATGACCATTGATCAACAACCACTGATTAAAAAACCACGAGTACCATTCACAGAGAGTTTGGGAATGGCTACAGAAGAGCAGTTGCAGTGTTTCAATTGTAGAACTGTACTTGACCAAGAACACAAAAAACAAAAACTGAATTTTTAGCCATTTATTGACAGTAGCAAAGGTTTATTCCAGATATGGTGTTTTTAGGGAGGCCACAGATTCAGGGGGTCAGTAACATGGAGGAAACAGAAGGACAACGTGAGCCTTTAACACCACATTTTTACAAACACTCTCACTCTGACCACACAGCACAAGCATTAAGGAAGTCTGGTGGCAAAGAGGAGGTGGAATGAGTACTAAAATACCTTTCATGGAAATACTGCTACTCGAGATTTAATACAGAGTACTATTCTAAAAAAAAGTTACTCAAAAATAATTCACTTAAGAGTATGCAAGTACTTTCAGGTGTTGCACATGTTACAGAATGCTCACAAGCCAAAAAGAATTTGACGTGTTTTTCCATCTTCTCAGGTACTTTAACTGTTACATTTTCCACCCCTTGAAAAAGGACATTACAACATCTTGTGCCCCACATGGTCCTGTCAAGTTTCAACACTCTGGAGTCCCAGCCCCTCTAGTTGGCCTCATCTTTGGATGCTTCATCGAAATTCTCCACCAGATCTGAAACAAAAGATTAGACATTAAATTGATTGATTGGGGAAGAAAGTAAATGCGTATCCCATCTGCACAAGTGACTCAAAGGTGCTGGAGAACAATTCAGGAAGTGTGTGTTTATGTGAAACAGGATACTTGGTGTAATGCAATTCTTTGCTCATCTCTCCCACTCCTACACACAGACGGCAATGTGCTCGACATATGAGGCCCTTATAACTACTGAAAGCAGCTGTAAAAATGACAGCAAAGGGCATCAAAAAGTTGGCTCCAATTACCCCGTGAAATGTGAGAAACCCACCTATCCAACTCAAAGCTCAGAGGGTCGGGGGTTCAAATGGAAACAATTCAAAAGGTCTGAGCAAACATGTTCCTTCAGTGAGAGAACAAAAAGAAATCCTTAACTCCAAAAACAATGTGATGGCAATGGATGTTAACCCCTGAGCCATCGGGCTTCAACTGCTGAGTACATATGTAATCGTTTGTTACGTTAGTGAGAGCTCGAGCTGGAGGGAGAGAAGCCCCGGGAGAAGAAAAAAAAAAAAAAAAAAAAGAGCTGAGATTATTGTAATGGCAACCTCATGTGCTCGGTCCATTTTCTTCACAAAGAAAAGCAAACTGAATCTTACAATCCTATAAACAAAGAACATGAGATTCAAACAAAACCCAGCACTGCACCATTGTCAAAAGTAACTGATGAGTCCCCTTCATATGACCCCTTTTTATGAGCCAGAAAGAAAAGCAAACCCACCATGATTTTTTTCTTTTTTTTTAGCTAACAGAAAAAAAGAAGAAAAAATCCCGCAGCAATAAATGACAAGTGTAAAGCAGGATTTCCAAACAGAACCGCAAAAAATCTGTAATGTGAGGCAAACAGATTTTTCTCGAGAAATGTCGGGATGGTCTTTGATTCTGAGTGGTGGAGCAAACTGCTCAGACACTTGGATTCAACATATGAAAATTGCTCACCTGGAACATCATCTTCTTCTTCTACTGCAGCAATTGGCGCTTTTCCATCTGCAGCTGTAAGAAGAGAACAGATCTGTGAGAAGCCTTAGAGTAGCCACAAACTAAACCAAAGCCTTTTTCAGACACAGCTGGCTTCATCAGTCCATCACACTGATGGCATTTCTTCATGGCTTCACTGAGACTTGACCAGGACACTGACCAAACTATCCACCGTGCTAGTTCAATATGGTACAAGCAAAATATAATGCATGAGGCCGTGGGTTTTCTCTCTTGCAGATTACATTTTAAAAGTTACTTAAACAGAGTACTGCTGCTTCACAGCAAGAAGGTTCTAAATTTGAATCCACCATCTGGCCGGGGTTGTTCTATGTGGAGCTCTGTGTTTTCTCTCCAGGTACTCCGGCTTCCTCCCACAGTCCAAAGACATGAAATTATTTGGGTTAGATTATTGGATGAGTTTAATTTGCCCATAGGTGTGAATTTGAGTGAGAACATTTCTCTGTCTCTCCGTTAGCCCTGTGATAAGAGTATCAACCCGCCTAGGGTCTTCCCTGCCTCTCGCCCTATAACAGCTGGGATAGGCCCGCGTAACCCTGATAAGGATAAGCGGAAGAGAATGGATGGATGAATTTAATTAGATGCAGTGAATCAATCCCACAGCTGTAACAGCTCATCAGTCTGAAGTACACAATGTTGCATGTAGTTACCCTGATCTATCCTGTCTTCATGTTCTATGATATTACAAATAAATTAAATTACTGTTGTTGTGCAATATGTAAATATAAGGAAATCTCAATTGGCTAATGGATGGATTGTGTTGCCGTCTGCTGCAGCAGGTTTAAAAAAATAAATAAAAATAAAAAAACCATACAGGACTTCTAGGAACAGCTAGCAGCAACAAAAAAGCTTCGCCTGCTGTGGAAACTCTGTCAAAACACAGATTACAAACATTAACAGCTAGTCTTCTTATTCTGTTGTCACTGATGTGGTCTTCACTGCAGTCAGATTTTAGAACTTTTGCATTTTCACTCTGCAACAGACCTGAAACTGCAGAACAAGTTGCAGGAGAGACGTGAACCTGTAATCTCAGATATGCATTCAGACTTTAGTTTGCTAAGTATTGTTGTATTTAATTTGATGGGAGGTATGTTTTATTTGGTATACTGGTGTCACCAGATGTAAGTGGTGGTGTTAAAAACTGCAAATTATTGTTCTGGGGTTAAAGTACAGTACCATCAGATCTAACCACACCGTATGATTGACAGCTTACAAGCAGTCAGACGTTGACGACTGACTCAGCGTCTGACTGCTAGTAAGGATTCTTCCTCTATTTCTTTGATTTACTGTAGGTTGGCTGACAGTTTCTA